AGGGAGGGTATCTTCTTGGTTCCCAAGCATCAACTTTTATCAGGTGCCTAAGGTACAAAACTTGTGATATTCTGGAAACTGAGATTACTCCAAGCAGTGTTCGTGTATGCAGAGAAAATGTAAATATGCTGTAGGAAAATTTTGTTGTTAAGAGAGGTGACATTATCTAAAGAAAGGCAGCTTATCACATGGGCAAAGGAGAAGACAGGCTAAGATGGAGCCTGTAGCTGACTGACCAGTGTCAGAGATAGCCATTAGGTGTTCAGTGTCTTTCCTAGAAGGTGCTTCTTCTGTGAAAAGGGAGCCACCTATGTTTGTGAGTTTATAAATACCCTTTTTGTCAGCAGTGCTCTGATAAGAAGGCCATTTTTATTGCAGCCCGTAGTCTTGGAGACGCAAATTTCTTCCCCGCTCTTGCTGGTTATCATGAGTTTCTCTGTCCTGCCTGCTTATTTTTAGTCACTTTTGTCATTGCTGCAACAAAATACCTGACAAAAGCAGCTAAAGAATGGAAGGGTTCCCAGGGCCAGGTAAAGTATAGTGGCAAGAACGGAGGCGGTGTCGTTCATAGGCAGGAAGCAGGAAGCAGTGGATGCTGGTTCTCAGCTCGCCTTCTCCTTCTGTGCAGTTGGGACCCCCCACTCCATGGAAAGGTACCATCTATATTTAGGGTGGGGCTTCCCACCTCAATGAACTTAACCTAGAAACTCCTTCACAGACATGCCCAAGAGGCTTGTCTCCATGGTGATTGTAGATCCTGTCAAGTTGACAGTTTTAATTGTCACAATTACTGACATGTATCTGCAGCTAAGTCTCTGTGTTGTGCAGATTGTAGTTTAAGATCTCTTCCCTGTAAGAGCCACCTGTTCTCAGACACAGTGACTCTCAACTTGTTCCTTGTCCACAGTCCTTTACTTGGGCTACCTCCTCCACATGGGGGTAGCTGGCTTCCGCTAAGGATTCAACAGGGATCCATTTTGCTTTCCCATGACCTTTGGGGATATGCCCACCCACCATGCTCTGTAAACACAGTGTCTCTTACATCATTTCCTGTGCGTGGCTGCTGGTATCTCACAGGTGTTTCTTCTCTATATATAAAATATAAACTGTTTGAAGAACGATTCCACAGGTGCTCAAATTGGCTAAAGAGACATAGAAAACCTCTCCAAAAGCAGGATTAGCCCAATTGCATAGATTTGGTTAATTGAATAGTTAGGCTAACTAAATATTAAACAGAAAGCCATTCTGATTTTCTGTCTAGTTACAGGTTAAATTCAAAACATTCTACCTTAGAAAGCACGATACCAGTCTTTAATTTCTCTGTGTACATATTTATTCAGTGGCAAAAAATATTTGAATTATTTGAGAGCCTTTGGGTGAAATTTGATAGGTCTTTGTGTAATGTTTATTCTATGACTACTTATAAAAGAAAGTGTCCCTTTTAGTCATAATTATTATTACTATTTTTACTATTATTACTATTATTATTACTATTGTTGTGGTTGTTATTTTGGTCTCATGTAGCCCAGGCTGGCCTTGAATTTGCTATGTAGCTGAGGATGACCTTAAACACTCCTGATCCTTCTGTCTGCACCTCTGGAAAGTGTTATTATAGTCATATGCCACCACACCTGGCTTGTGTCCCTACCACCTTCCAAGGATTGGAACCAGGGCCTGTGTTAGGAAGTGCTCTAAGCTACGCTCTTGAACTATGTCTCCAGACCTTCTTTTTTACTATCTATAGCAAGACAGGGTCTTGCTTAGTTGCCCAGGGAGACTGACCTTTCGATCCTCCTACCTCCACCTCCTGAGTAGCTGACCTTACAGACCTCACTGCCAGGCCTGGCTGTAGCCAGCCCTCTTTTATCTTAGAGATATCTGTGGCATGTTTCTTAGTGAGAATTACTATGTCCAGATACTTTGCAAAACACAAAGAGTGTCACAAATGGCTCTAAATCCATCCATCAAGAGCACATGACTTGGGATTTATATTGGGTCAAGTGGATTAAATCTGACATGAAGTGTTCCCATCAAGAAAAGAAAGATTTGGGGCTAAAAGCTCTAAATACTTAACTTTAAAATTAAGTCATTTACTGTGGGAAAAATAATTGTTTGTAGGGTCCTTTGGGATCACAGCCTTGCATAGGTCTACAAATTATTCATGAAGCTGGTTGGGGCCATTTGAAGAATGGTACAGTCCAGGCAGGACCCCTCTAGCCCCAGGCTCTTGCTTACAGCAGGTTTTAGGTTGAGTTGTTTTGTTAAACATTCGAAAGCGTCCCCCCACCTCCCTTTTGAGCTTTCTGGCAGTTCATCCCTGTGAAGCCCTGAAATCTCTCTTAGAGTTTAGGGTTGGGATTTGAATTGGGCTGCTGAAGAATGGAACTGTGCTGTCTAATGTTAATCCCCTGGCAATCAGTCTTGCTGAAAAGAGCATATGATTCAGTGGTGTGATGCACAGGGAGCGTGGAGTGTATGGGGTAATGTGGAGAGAGGCCTGATTATGTCACAAATTTGGGAGATTGCCCAGCTCAACTCGGGCCAATAATGACACAATGCTGGTTGGGAATATCCATTAAAGCGCAACGCCAGTGATTTTTCTAAGCCTTGAACCTTCTTTATAAATAGAAGCTAAAAGTCAGGAGCGTATGGACTTTTTCAGTAAAGATGGAGGTGTGAAACACTCATCTTTGCTCAAAACCCCAGTGATTGCTTTGAGAAGCGCTAATAAGAATTCAGTCAGCCGAAGAGCCTCATGTAGACATAAAGGGCCAGGGACCATTCTGAGCATCTTGGGAGCAGAAACAGAAAGGATTCAGGCTTGGGCAACAAATTCCTGGTAGCCCACAAACCCAAATGGGGACAGGGTTTCAACTACCTTTCTGATTCATAGAAAACTAGAAATTCTTTCCCAGTGAAGATAAAGTATTTTGTTCACATTCTTCCAGGTTTTATTTTGTTGCTATGATACCTCCGTCTGTGGTTCAGGTATTAGGAAGCGTCAAAATGGAAAGGCACCCCCCCCCCACTCTCATGTAAAAGCCATGTAATTCAAGTGACATTCTTGTGTTCTGGAATTAAATAGCAGGCCATTGTTGTATGTGGGGGAAATGGTCTTCGTTTGTGGGAGCTCTTTAGGAGTCCTTGCTTGATCCTCATTAAAATTGACACCATTACTTTTCAGCCATTTACTGCAAGGGAAAATTAGCGTGAAGTTCCATGTCTCGGTAATTGTGGCAGTAATAAAACAGACTGCTAAGTAACTGACCACGGGAGGTGGTGAGTCTTTATCATGGTTCCCCAGTGAGGGGTGCCAATCTGACAGAGGCCCTGCCACCAAGATGTGACAGCCAGGAGAAGTCATTAAATCTCTTTACTGTCTCTTGGGTCTGATTGGGAACTAAGACCCAGATATGTTAGAAACAAATACATCCAGGCGTTGTGACAGGAGCAGAGAGCCTGATGGTGGGTACCTGGACACCTGGGTACCAGGTGAATTGGAACAATCAATTTAGCTCTTCTGAACCTGTTACATAGCCAATAAAATTGGCAAAAGGTTGCTTAGCTCATTCCTCTGATGCCTGTATTAGTGCCCTAGAACTGCTGTAACAAATGACCCCAAGTAAATTTTCTGGGTGTTGGTCTTTAATAAGTTTTGTTGGTCTGAATCAGAAATCTCTGTGTGTATGTGTCTATGGGGACTGTGTATATGCATGTGCATGTGTAGGCCAACTCTGGTGTTGTTCCTTAAGAGTCCTCTGAGTTTTTATTATTATTATTATTATTATTATTATTTATTTTTGAGAGAGAGCTCTCCCACTGGGACCTTGGGCTCACTGACTGATTAGACTAGGCTGCCTGGCCAGCGACCCCTAGGGATCTACGTGTCTGCCTCCCCAACCCTGGGGTTGTAAGTGTGTACCACCATACCCTGGCTTTTTTACATGGGTTCTGGTGATCGAACTCAGGTCCTCATGCTTATAAAGCAAACATTTTAGCAACTGAGCCATTGCCCTAACCCTGAAAGTCCTACTAGACAAAGTACCATATTTGGACCAATATGTTGAACCAATATTCATTTGAACCAGTGGTCTTGTTTCTGACTGGCTTAATGATGTCATCAAGGCCATCCTAGACTGCTTTGGTTGCTGGGCTTGCAGAAGATCAGAGACTTAATAAGTGCTTGAAATTCATGGAGTTGGCCTCCTTACTCCCCCTTCACCCCTCACCCTATCTTGCAGCTGAGGAGAGCTGGGTCCAGCAGGGCTCTCTGTCCAGGTTTTCTTGACTCCAGCTAAAAGCATTAGTTGTGAACTAGGGAGATTGCTCAGTGGTTAAAGCACTTGTAGAGCAAACAGGACCCAAGTTTGGATCCACAAAACCCTGGTAAATGCTGGGTGGGTGTGGTAGCTGGCCAGTAACTCCAGCCTTGGAAGATGGAGACATGAGCCTCAAAGTAAGCTGACTAGTGAAACTAGCTCCGTCAGCGAGCTCTGGGTTTGATTGAGAGACCTTGCCTCAAAATATAAGATGAAAACGCAATTGAGGAACTATCAGTTTTGGGCCTCCACAGGCATATGTGTACCCACGTACACTCACACATATGTGAATGCACATACATACATACCGCACACATATATACATATGTGGTGAGGAAAAGAAAGGATTAGTGCCCTTCCTCACTTCTGTAGCCCCTTTGACTTTGAATTATGAACTTCTCTGGCT